CATTTTGAATTTGGTTACAAATTATCAACTGATTTTATAAGAATCATTTTGTGCATGTGTTTTGTAAACATTGAAGCATGGTTAACTTTGCTAAAAAATGAGACATTTGACAGTAATCATTTATAATTTTTAATCTAGCTCTGTTTTATGTATAATGAGTATCTATACTAAGTCCCTGTTCCTGAAACTTAAACTGTGCTTGTATACACATATCACAAAATATTAAATGTCCTAAACTTTTTAAAAGAAAAGGTGTAGGTCCTAGTATGCTTAATTATTTTGTATATTATATATGTCCCTCAAGTATCCGAGCAAATGTTCCTAACAAGATGAATCTTCTCCATTTAGTTTGTTGGTTAAATAAAAAAGTGGAATGCATCATCATGATGATCACGATTGTTCTGGACAGTCACATGTGCCACATTTGCTGCAAGGGGGTATGTCAATTGCTGTGTTCAGATAACATGAAATGACCCATCTTCTTACATGTTGCAGCATGTGCATTGCATTCTCAGATCCAGGAAATCAAATCTCAGTTTGCAAATATGGACAAAGGAAATAAGAAAATGCCCAAAGAAATTTCCATGAAGGTGGCCAACCTGAGTTTTAAGGAACAAAGGAACAGAATCATGAAAGAAATAAATGCAGAGAAGAAACAGAAATTGCTGGAGGAGAGGCGTGTCTTGGTACTGACTGAGCATGGTTTTAGTGTTCTGGTCTAATTACTGTGGCTGCAAGTCAGGCTGTTTGTACAAAGTATGAAAATAAGTAGGCTCCAACACAGTAAACGCTAGTTTCTGTTCCTTATAAATATTTACATGGAGCAGAGCCCTGCTTTAGAAACCACTAATCAATAAATTTCCCAGTTCATATGGAACCTAAAAATTTTATTACCGTATGAGCTCACAACACAACCCTATCCCCCTGATTTCCATTTGTTATAAACAGAATATATCGTGACTAGCTTGTGATAATGAATTCTCCTGGTTTGTATTGTCATCATTATGCAACCCAGCTGAGTGTTAGTCACATGAATAACTAATTCCAAAACCAGAGCTTGCCACTGGACACTACTGTAAGCTGGTACCATCAGATTCTCAGCCTCCTAAATTATCGACTGAAGAACCAGAGCTTAATGTTATTCTCCTGTCTCCTTCGCAATCATACTAATAGAATTCCCATCTGAAAATTCTGTCTCCACTATTCACCTACACATTCTCTTAGATTTTACTACCAAATCAATACTAGGTGACATGTACAAATCACAAAGTACTTTGTTTCGCAGTATCCCAAATTTCAAACAAAATCATCCATGTCATTTAGTAAGCTGTATTTAGACTAGTGAAAGGAGGTTATGATGAACTATGAGGGAGATTTAAAATGTGCACAGAATTTTTTATGAAGGCCTTTAGAATGTGTCTGCATGGAAGACTGAAGAGATGAAAGGTTTGTATTAAATTGGCTCTTAGCAAACAGATTGTGAGGTTGATCTGGACAGGATTCAGCTGACTCATGATACTGTGCATTTGTAAGCTTTGGTAATAGTGGTTTAGTTCTGTTACCAAAGAGTTAGTTATTAATTGAAAAATCAGCCATTAGTCTTCTTTATTGCTGTTGGTGTGGTGATGGGCATTGTTTTAGGATGACCTGCATAACAGAGTTTTTCAACAAAAGCGTCAGCTCTGCAGCAGGGTGCGTGAGTTCTCAGATAAGTATGGACTGTTGGCTATGATGAAGAACCCCAGTGGCTTTTCTGTCCAACCCAGGAGATGTGTGCAAACAAATGAAGGTCAGTGTAGAAATGTAGCAGCAGTACTTATGCATGTAGATCATCTGGGTTCAAAGTGGTGGTAATTAAGGTAATACTGAATCTACTTTATAAGATTTGTTAAGTCACACAAGAGGTAAGATTTGAAGTAATAACCATTTTCTGAGCATAATTTTTATGATTATTTTTAAACTCTTCAGAAATTTAACACATGGGTGAGTATGCTTCGTATATACACTCAGCAGTCAGTACTTTAATGTGTTTTGATGCATTTTGAAGTCGGACTAATAACCAGTTTTAAGCTAATTTGGATGTCATGTCACAAAGGTGGAAAATGAATGCAAATAAGGTTTTAAGTTACTGTACACACACACCATTTTTTCATCCCCATGATTAACTGGATTGGAATGGGTTTGTAAAACAAGGTTGCAGTTTGTATAAAGTGAAGCTTTCGCAGTGACTGAAGTTGATGAAAGACTTGGGTTACAAGCCGCATCAGGTGGCTGAATGGTGAATAAACCAAGAGTCTTTCATCAAGGTTGTAGTTTGCATTCACATAAACATGTATGTTTCAGTTATGAATGCAGTAATCAATTATGGTACTGCTTCTCCAGTATATATTCACCATTCTTTATAGTAGAGATTGCCTATGACTGTTGCAGAAACCTGCATTTATGAATCTATGGATGAAGAGCAGCTGAAATCAGTTGTGGCAGCAATGGAGGCTGAGCTCTCTGTTGCAGATGCAAAACTAGAAGAGTCTAGATTGCATCTGGCATCACTGCAGGAGGAGCACCTTCATCTTCTTCATAGTCCCACTGGTGGACACAAGCTTCAGGAGTGAGTAGCTCCACATGTTTAGGTGGCGTTCTAAGCATTGTGTCATCATGCATTAAATTGTTGTTTCCATCACTGGTGCTGTAAGTTCAACTGTCTTGGTGTAGCGTAGTGGTGTAGTGTAGAACCCCAGCTTCTTCATACCAAGCCAACTGAAAGAGGAATAACATTTTTTAAATATGGTGAGGTTTGAGCTGGATTCTTCTCATACTGCTGTGGTGGTGGGCTTATAGAGGTTAGTTACGATGTAAGATCTTGAGAACAGGTTTATGATATTGTCTTAATTTTGTTGTGGTTAAGGATGAATGTCAAAGAAATGGTAAGATGTGATATAAGTTTATCAGCTGTGGTTAGAGATAATACAAAGCTGAATAGTTATATTCATATGTAGCAATGAAGTTAACTTTTCAAAATTAAGTAATTACTATACCTGATTATGACTAGATACTGTCATTGAATCATATCATGATGGATGACATGTTTAGTAGTAATTAAATTTTGCGTAGTTGCTAACATAAACTTCTTTTTTGTGGACTGACTGACTGACTGACAAGATCTAAGCCAATAAATTCAGATCCACAAACGGATGCTTACATACAAGACAAGTAATACAAGATGTACAGTGTCATGCCCCTTAGATGGTACTTCTGTCTGTAATGGTCTGGTCACAAGTTGCTTAGATGGTATGGTATCAAATTCTTGGACGGTACCTGGTTGCAAATCTCATAGACAATATTTCTCTCCTTAATGGTATAACTGGAAATGATTTTGAATTGTGAAAAGAATTTTTTCTAATTGAATGAAAGTCATCATTCTCTCCTTTATGTATGTCCATCATTCTTACTATAATTGTTGTTTCATTTTGACCAATCAAGTTACATTCCTGGATCTGTTCCTTTCCTCTTGCGATCACTGTTATGCACTTGATTCCAAGGGAATGGTAGCATTCCTTGTTATAAGGAAAGTTTGTAAACCTTGAACTCTACAAATTTTAGTAAGATTATTTTTCTCACATGTTGATACCTGAGTTCTGTGAGATCTATCTGCTGGTTGGTACATAAACTGGAAGAATTAAATGATGTTGTGTGGTGTGTCTGAATGTGTTAACATGGTTTGTGTGACAGGCTACATGACTTGAAGCAGCAGACGGAGTTGCTGGAGTCGCAATGTGAGGCTCTGCAGCAGGAGTTGGGCTGGCAGAATCTCATCATGAAGCAAGGAACTAACATAGACAGTAGGTTGCCAGCTACATTTGTAAGGAGTGTAGCAATCCTTCATCCAGCTTAGATATTACTACATTCTTAGAATTTTTTTACAAAAAAAGAATTTTGCATCTAACCAAATTCTGCTTTGAAGTTTTGTCACTGTGGACTGTAGGCACACTACTGACTATTATTTCTTCAACACCCCTCATACGTCTCTTTGTTATATCTTTTACCATCCGAACAGAAATACAAATGATGCATTCTTCAATCTGTGCAGTGCTCCACCCAGAAAGTGCCAACCTAGCATTGATCATAACACAATTCTATGTCTAGGATATCTCGGCCTATAACTTTTGCATTTTTTCCAGTATTCTTAAGACAGCTTTACAGTTGTACATTACCTGCCATGTACAGGTAAGTGTTTGGAACAATTTGTCATATCCTTGTGGTTACCAGTTAATAACATGCTTTACACCAGTCATTGTTTTGGTATCAAAAGTTTCATGGCCTAATGCAAAGTACTCTCTTGCCATTACCATACATTGATTGGCACTGTTGTTGCTCAAGTCTCATTAATTTCAACAAACATTATATCAATATTTTTAAGGTTGGGAATTAAAATATTTAGAAGATGGGTGGCCTCCAATTGTGTCATGTTCATAATAGTTTTTATGAAATGATATGAGTTACATCAGAAATTTTTGGGGAGAACACATCCACAATGATATATTTAAACCAAGAGCTTCAAAGTATTTCTGAACTGTAGCAAAAGAACGAAGAGAGTTGGACTTACTGGCTATTCCATGGTATATCCTTTGAAGTAATCCCATTGCAAGGTAGTGTACCTTGTCTAATGGTTATGCTATTGCTGGAAGTATTTCTGGAACTCATAATCTTTTGCAGTGCCACTTTAAATTTTTGTTGAATTTGTAAGTGTCATTTCATTTTTAGCCTTGGAAACAGAAAGAAGTCGCTGAGTCAGATCTGGATAATTCAATAGTTCAGGGGGTGGAGGATGATTGTGTTATTCTTAGCTTAATATTGCAGAGGGAGCATTGTTATAATGCAGCAAGCAATAAACTGCACACAAATTTCCTTGACATTTGAGCCTGTTAGCCTCCCATAGATTTTGTAGAAGCTCTTATAAAAGTAGTGGTTAACATTTGACCCTCCTGGTCAAATTCATATTGAATGAGAGGACTGATGCTTTGTCTCAGGTTCATACCCATAAACCCATGTTTCATCTCCTCTGGTGATCTTTGAAAGGAAACCTGGTTCTTTTTTATTCTGTTCTTGAAGATCATGACACATTGATGCACTGCTGCTTATGGTTGCAAGTCAATACATATCACATATATTTCACTGTGATTAATCTTATGTTCAGTTCTTTAAAAATGCTTTGGCAGGTTCCATATGATATCACCAGCTGGTCTACCATGTGATCGATGATGAGTCACATATTTTGGTAGATTAACTCAAGCAACATTTCATTTGTTATAGCTGTTGTTGGACACCCATAACATTCTGCATCTTCAATAAAGTTTGGCTTTTTTTTTTAAATCAGTAAAAATTTTGCATTCTGCTTATTGTTTGCTCTTCATATGCCATCGTGGGCCTTTGGAAGTTGATTTTCCAAAGCTGTAACAAAACTTGACAGAGACTTTCTATTCTTTCAAATTGATCATTGTAGGAAAAATCAAGTCATAACAACAGTCTCATTCAGAGGCATGTAAAATGTAAATGAAGCAAGTGCGATGAGCAATACTGGTGTAAAACTACTACTATGACCATCTGTTAGGAAAACTGCACACTGTCGTTCCTTTTGGGACACCAAAGAGAGTCTGGAAACTTCTGGATAGCATTTAATAAAATAACAAAAATACATCAATGAGAGGCAAAAATAGGGTAACTCTATGAGTGATGTGTTTTTTCCCAGACACTGAACAGAAAGCAGACAATATTGAGCAGGTTTTTGAAACAACAGACATTACTTGCATGGTTCCTGCAAAGGTGACAAGAACCTCAGAAAACAGTGGGGTGGAACATAAACAAGGAATTTTGGTATGTAACATGATGTACTTTAAACTGTAACTAAACTAAGTTATATAGGAGAATTTATTAATCTTTTCAATTAACATACCCCTTGGCATCAGTGACACTTCAAATGCCACTTTCCGATGGGGACTAAGTATAATCATCATCATCATCATCAACTTCATGGGATAGGCTAAATAGCCTGTTCTGGCTCACGTGATACCATCTTTTCCTGGGTCTCCGAGGTCCTTTTCTTCCTCTGGGTTGATATGCTATTTTTGTAATTCATCAGTCATCAATCTTGTTTAAGTGTTGTATTCATTTGTTCCTACACTGTTCAATCTTATCCTGTATTTTAAATATCCCAAGATCGTCTCTGATGGATTCATTTGTAAAATGATCCATTAATGTGAATTCTTTTATTCAACAAAGGACACTCATTTCCAGTGACTAAATCTGTTGTAGATCTTTGGTTTTATAGTAGTCCAGCATTCACTTCCATAAATTAAAATCAATACAGCTAATACTTTATAAAATTCTAACATGATGTCTTTACATACTTTTTAATGAAGTGTTCTCTGTATTGTTCAACATATGGACTGAAATTTAGCTAATTTAATTTGAATATTAGCTTTGGTATCACAGAATATATCATTGCTGAGATATTTAAAATTTGAGACTTGTTCAACTGGTTCATTGTCTATTTTGATTTTCATTCTAATGGGATATTTTTCTCTGAAGGCCATTACTTTAGTTTTTGTACAGGATATTTTGAAATTATATATTTGACATATGTTGGTTAATAAGTTCATGGAATGTTGTAGATCATCTTCTGTAATGTTATTATTAGTTGGTCATCTGTGAATAGTATTGTATTAAGAAATGTGGTCAGTTTAAGTTTTATTCCTGTAGGAGATTTTTCATTCCAGTTTCTAATTGTATTGTAAATATATGTATTAAAAAGTGCAAGTGATAGACAACACCCTTGTCTTGCTCCTTGATTGGAGTCTATTGTCTTCGTACGTATTTTAGTGCATGCATCGATTCTTATGTGTGTGTTATGATAAAGGGATTATATTACACAAATGGGAATCCCCTATGTAGCATTATGTCCCACAGTATTGTCCTATCATGTATTATAAAACAAGATATCAAACAGAGTTTTTCATTTTAAACAAACTTTATTTCATGTTTGACAGTGTATGGAATACACCTCACCTCATGTATTGAGGCTTTTCATACCTCCTGTGGGTGCATGTACACGGTTCAGAATTTCTCATATACGGAACTTCTACTAGAATTTATGGAGTAACAAACTCACACAGCTGTTCAGGGAAATTACTTCTTTTATGAAATCTTACAGGTCATCACTCATCACAGAAGCTCAGCATTGGATGTTATTCTGTGTCAGTTTAATCCATTTCCCTTCCCAAAAACCTGTTTAATGATCTATCTCAATTTTATTTTCCCATAATATTTCCCCAACAACTTTTTATTCATTTCTTTATTTCCCCATGTTTGCTGCTCATCTTGATTTATTTGCCCTAACAATATTAAATGAATAGGACAAACAGTGAAGATTCTTAGTACATAATTTTCTGCATTTTGCCTTTTTTTTTCTCCCTCAAGTTTAAATATTGTTTTCACCACTTTGTTTTTGCATACCTGTAATCGTTGTGCTTCCATGAAAGTAAGGAATTAAATTTTGCATTCATACAAAAAAGTAACTAATCTTGGTGTTTTTTCAGCCTTTGGAACCAAGTAAATCAAACTGCAGACCATTTGTTCCTAAAATACCCAGCAAGATGTCACTGAAAATGACTTTACACAGATCCCATGACCTTGAAAAACAGCTCTGTGAACTTCTTAGCAGTGCCAAATCTTCTCCAAAACCTGGCAAGTCATGAAACCAAAATTGGTATTGCCATCAGATTGCATTGTAGTTATGTTTGCATTCTGATTCATACAGTAGTTCCAATTGAAATGGTGTTTTAATTAAATTTCATATTTGCTTAAATTATAGTTCTATACAACTTCTTATTCTGTATTAGGACTTATTTATATTAAACAAGGTCCAAGAGAAAAGATGCCTACTTCTGTCCTCAAATGAATAATTTTACAACTTTGTGAACAATCTCTGTGCAACATTTCCACTTCCAGTACTTAATAAAGTTATCAAAATATTATAAGGTCCAAATTGTTTTTACATTGTGAGACACAGAAATAATATGTTTGTATTAAAATAAAATTTGTAATTAAATTTCAAATAAAGTTTTTAAGTAAATTCTTTTACCATATCAATTTAAATTTTTACATGCTTAGAAGTTGTTGTGCAATGAAAAAATTAAAAATTGTTTTACTTTACATTCCAGACAAAATGAGAAAAACAGTTTATGCATTTTTCAACATAATTCAGTATCCTACATCAGTGGTATTCAACCTGGGGTACGTGAAATTTAAAAAAATATATTATTTTATGATAAACACTGAATAATCAGTAATGTAATTTATTTAATTTATTTTAGATGTAGATTATACGCTATGTATAACTTGAATTATACACCAACAACTTTGGGGGTACGTGAACAAAAAAGGTTGAATACCACTGTCCTACATCACACCAGCTACTGCTGTTCATGGTCCCCATGTTGGTACTGCTGATAGTAGGGAATTAAAAATTTTGATGTAATATTTATTTCTGGATTCCCACCTTTAACAGTGTTTTCTATCTGTGGGTCAGAGGTGCCATGCAATCTGCAGGTTTTCTGGTGACCTGATAAGAATGAGAAACCATGGTCATTTTGGGTTGTTAACACCAAGATGGATGTCACCCCAAATTCTGTAATTTCCATTCAAAGGGTCCAAGGTTCATGAGAACAAATTTATTCCCAGAATCAGTTGAACTGTATTGTGTCTGTCTATGTGTGTTTGCCCCTGCATATACATTCACACATACATATACAATGACAGTCAATAACAGCAACAGGATGCCTGCTGACAATTGCATGGTAGTTACCGACTAAGACCTTGGCAGTGGATGCTTGCATGATTTAACACAAAAACTGACCGCCAGATGAGAGTATAACAGTTTGACAACCGCTGTAGTTACATGACAGCACAACTTGCGTAGCGGTAGCTACCCTCACATTTTGCCACCTTTAAATTATACCAAAATGTATGTTGGTATATTCTGTGGTTGGCATTCGTGTAAGTGTAATGGCGGAGGAGTGATTGTATAAGGTGTCAGTAAATCACAAAATGCAGTCTTCAGTGCCAGAAACTGCAGGAAATAAACATGCATCAGACAGAAATACGTTATTGGCTATTGCACAGATATTAAGGAAGTACAATTTGAAGGTACACCTATTATTTTAGGGTAATAAACCTCATCTTTCATTAAGGGATGCTGTACGTAGCAGGTAAACAAAGTTGCCTTGGCAGGATTTGAGGTGCTCACAGCGGTGAGTAAGAAGGTGGCTGTGATCTGGATTTTAGCGCCGTGTAGCCTTTGTGCGTTAAGTTTCCTTCACGCATGATGAACCATTAGCAGACGTTAAGTCGACGAAGAAATCATTCTCTGTCTGGACCGTATTGCGAACTGTCAATGTTGTGAACCTGCCAATCTCTTACCACATCGACTAGTATTTATTTGTGTATACTCTCGCATTAAAAAATTATATGATGTAATTTTCTCGTGATAAGTGAAAGAAGCAACAATACATTCTGCAAGATACCTTTCGAAGTTTTTCAATTGATCAAAAGCATATATCCTCATACAGTGTAAAGTGCGATTTAATAAAAACCAATCAGCATATATCCTCATACAGTGTAAAGTGTAAATAGTAAGTAAGTGTAAGTGTTAATAAAAACCAATGGCTTCCGACCCAACTTAATTCATTTTCTGAAGGTCCTAGGTTCAAATCTCAGTCCAGAGACTGACTGTTCTGACTAATGTCTTCTGTTTTCATCTTGCCTTCCAGGCAAGTGTTGGGATAGTATCTTAAATTTAACTGCTTCCTTCCATGTCCTTTCCAGTTAATTATTTATTAATCATCATATTCAACACTAATTAGTCGTTAAATAAGCCACAAATAAGTACATCATTAATATGTCTAAGGAACATGGGTTTTGATTAATCAGTGATAAAATGTAAGGAAATTTATCCAGAAACTGGGATGTCATGAAAAATGATCAGTAACAGAGAACTGCTTTGTGTAGAAAATTAGCAGAAGTTTAAAAGTATATGCAGACACAGCTCCCAGATGATGTGTCCCAAGTTTATTGTACCATAACTTGATATCCTTTGTTGCAAAAAATGAAATTGGAAAAACTTATGTGTCCAATTTAGACAGATTAATTTCAATCAGTGTGTTTTGTTTATGTACTTCCTCTTTATGAAGGGCTTTTAGTGTGCTACTTGTCCTCCTGAATGAAAATTCACCCATAAGACAAATGCAGTGACTAGAATTTTTTTTGCTTTATTTTTAACCTCATAAAATTGTTGCACCATGTTATGCCAACTGCATACAAAGCAGTTTTTCAGTGTGGTGGCACTTTATGAACTGAAATCATTTAATTGAGTTGATAGACTGACATGTGAAGCACATAGCAGTTGTCAGATATGTTTGACAGC